GGCCCTGGTTGGGTCGTGCGGGTGGCGGCCACTCGATGTATCCCTTTCACATCGATGTTTCTCTCTCTTCCTCTCTCTCCTTCCCGCTCTATCTGAGTGAAAAATGGAAAAATGTCCTCGGGTGAGGATTAAAACAAAACAAAACAAAACAAAAAAACAGGTAGAGGACAAGCAGAGACACTTCTCCCAAGAAGACATACAGATGGCCAACAGACATATGAAAAGATGCTCAATATCACTAATCATCAGGGAAATGCAAATCAAAAGTACAATGAGATACCACACCTCACACCAGTCAGAATACCTATTATAAAAAATCAACAAATAGCCCTGGCCAGTTTGGCTCAGCAGTTAGAGCATCAGCCTGTGGTCCAGGGAGACCCAGGTTCGGTTCCTGCTAAGGGCGTGTGCCTTGGTTGCAGTTTGTCCCCGGCCCTGGTTGGTCGTGCGGGTGGCAGCCACTCGATGTGTCCCTTTCACGTCAATGTTTCTCTCTCTCCCTCCCACTCTATCTGAACAAAAAATGAAAAAGTGTCCTCGGGTGAGGATTAAAAAAAAAAAAGTCAACAAATAACACGTGTTGGCGAAAATATGAAGAGGGAACCCTGTGCATTGCTGGTAGGACTGCGTTTTGAGGTAGCCACTATGGAAAACAGCATGGAGGTCCCTCAAAAACTAAAAATAGATCTACCACATGATCCAACAATTCTACTTCTGGGTATTTATCCGAAAAAAATAAAAACACTAATTTGAAAAGATATATCCATCCCTATGTTCATTGTAGTATTATTTACAATAGCCAAGCAAACTAGGTGTCCACTGACAGATGAATGGATACAGATGAAGTGATACACACACACAGACACACACACACACACACACACACTGGAAGATTACTCAGCAATAAAAGAGTGAAATACTGCCATTTGTGACATGGATAGACCTAGAGAACATTATGCTAAGTGAAATAAGTCAGACGAAGAAAGACAAGTACCATATGGTTACATTTATATGTGGAATCTTAAAAAAACACATCAAAATGAACAAACAAAACAAAACAAAACAAAAACAGCCTCATAGAAACAGATCAAACTGATGGTTGCCATAAGGGAGGCGGGTAGGGGCAATGGGAGGAAGGGGTGAAGAGGAATATAGTCAGTAACACTGTGATCTTTGCACAGTGACAGATGATGACTGGATTTAGTGTGATCACATTGTAAGGTATGTAAATGTTGAATCACTATGCTGTACACCTGAAACTAATATCATCTTGTAAAAACTATACTTAAATTGTTTATTATTTTTTTATTTTGGTACCAACAATTTTTTTTTTTAATTTTCGTTGCAGATGTTTCTCCTTCCCCCCCTATACTTACATGTTACAAAAGGCAAACACTATTTTCCTTCGGGGAAGGAAAGAGCTCCTGGGAGAGAGAAGGGACACTCCGAGAGGAGAACCGCTCCGGCGAGGCTGGCCTTCCAGGAGCCACCGCGTGCGGCAGCCGCAGGGTGAAGCCTGGCTGCTGAGCGGTAGGCCAAGGTCAGCGGGGAGAGGACAGAGGGAAGGGGGGGCACAAACTCCATGTCAAGGAAAAGTGCCTGCCAGAGGACTACAATACGTCCTCACTCAAAGTCGTTGGTAGGTTCTTGGAAACCGCACCTTTATGTGAAACGAAGTATAATGAACCCAACTGGGCCATAGGTTAATTGATATAGAGTTAAGTTCTTACAGAATGTTTCTGATCACAAACATCACCAAACTTCTAAATGAAGACCTTTCAAAACACTTCTATTAGTAAACATTGAAATAAAATGTTTCCTACCTAGATACTACCTTGTTCTTAACCCTCCACCTCTACTCTAGAAAGTAGAGGCTACCATTTACTGAAACTATACTACAGGTAATAACTCGTCACTACTCCATGGGCAGGTACTATAACTGCCCCCAACGGACAGAGGAGAAAATAGGCACACAGGGCTGAGTCACTAGCCCAAGGTCAGTGATAAGTGGTGGGGTGGGGATGTGAGTTCAGGTAGGTGCCCCCCCCCAGGGGTATAGCCAGTCTACTCTCACCTAGATCCTCCCCTCTGTCCACAGTGCTGGTTTGGAGGCCTAGTCAAGCCTCCAACTCTCTAGTTTGTGTATCTACAAGCCTCTGATTGGTCTCTTCACCCTCAGTTTCACCCCACTCCAATCTGTTTTTCCTAATGCAAGTAGGAAATCCTTCTAAACTAGGAATCTGAGGTCACTCCTCTACCAAAACCCTTCAAAGTCTTCCTGCTTTATATTCCCTGGCCTCTCAGCAAATGAATGGTGGGAGCGGAGTCCTGTAGGCTGACTCTAAGGCCATGCTCTCAACTACTATCCCAAAGCTCCTCTCGAGCCTCAGTTTCCTCACTGGTGAAATAGGGGCGACAGTACCTGCTGAAAGGCTGTTAGGGTACACACAGCACCTGATAGAAGAGTGCCAGGCGCACAGTAGGCAACTCACAGGGAGATTCCATTAGTACTTTTTGTTGTTGTTAATCCTCACCCAAGGATAACTTTTCCACGGATTTTTTAGACACAGTGGAAGGAAGGGAGGGGGAGAAAGAGATACACCAATTGGTTGCCTCCTGCATGACCCTGACCGGGGCCGGGGATCAAACCTACAACCCAGGTCCATGCCCTTGACCAGGAATTGAACCCAGGACCCTTTGGTGTGCAGGCCAATGCTCTAACCACTGAGTCAAACCAGCCAGGGCATCTATTAGTATATATAATTAAAAAGGAAAGGGTGGGGCCCTGGCAGGTTTTCTCAGTGGTTAGAGCGTTGGGCTGCAGTCCAGAGAGTCCCGGGTTTGGTTCCCGTGAAGGGCACGTACCTCGGTTGCAGTTTGTCTTCGGCTCAGGTTGGTCATGCGGGTGGCAGCCACTCGATGTGTCCCTTTCACGTCCATGTTTCTCTCTCTCACTCTCTCTCTTCCTTTCTCTCCCTCCCACTCTATCTGAACAAAAAAATAAATAAATAATAATTAAATAATTAAATAATTAAAAAGGAAAGGGTGGGGAGAGAATTGGTTGCCCTGAAAGGTAAGATGAATTCCACATGGGATAATAATTACATTAGTGCTCCAGATACATCCTATCACTTAATCTTTACCACCTTCTGAGGCACAGATACGGTTACATTTACAGGGAGGGAAACTGAGGCTGAGAAGTAGACTGACCAACTCAAGATCAATCCAAACACAGGTTTGTGAGTGCAGAGCCACGTGCTCGCCCCTGAGAACCGCCGCTGTCTCCGCTGTACTGTATGTTGGTTTGGAATTCCAATTCTTTCAGATCTTACCAGCTGAAGATCAACCGTGGGTCAAAGCTGCGACGAGACCTGAGGGAATCTGGGGATACTTAGGGAAAACTGAGAAAACGGTGAGCCTGGCATGGGTGCACAGTCCAGAAAAGCAGAGGGTCCCCCAGCACGTGACACGGTCCTTGTTCTGGGGCTCTGGGAGCGCACCCATAAAAACAACAAGCCAGGGCCCATCGCCCTGTTTCTACAACAATGAGAATATTTATTTTCTCCAGGCAGTAAAAATAACATTTTTCTCTCTTTTGTAAAAGTTAAGTACCATTACATTCCATTTTCTTAAATAACAAAATCCTAAAAATATATATTAAATTGTATACAGTGCATCACACTTCATCTTATATTTTAAAATACACGATGTTTCTATTTTATTCTCAAAGTTGCATATTAAGAGCATATTTACAAATAAAGCCTTGCCATCCAAAGTCAAGACCCCGACGGGAGGTGAGTCTGGATGTGGGCAGGTCTGGATGCTGCATGAGCCCTGCGACGGCAGCTCCCACTGTGTGCTCCTGAAGACACATCCTTTCTGAAGCAGATTTGCCTCGGACTTTCCTCCACACCCCACTTTTGTCTCGTTGAGCATGTGGAACTCGGCAAGACAGAAGCCTGTGCAATGGGCACCCCCCTGAGGTCTGCAGGCAGAGGGTAAGGCCTTGTCACCCCTAAGCCGGCCAGCCTAAGGGGAGGCAGCTGCGGCTGGAAGGTTTGAGAAACACCCCACGCCAGGGCAGCTAAGCTGAGAGACCTGGCCAGGAGGTAGAAGAGTGAGGAAGGTAAACAAAGACACCAGAGGAAACAACCAAAAGATTAAAAATTCCCAAGGTAGTAACAAAAGCAGACATCAAACACCAAATAGGAGATTCGAAACCCAAGAGGGTGCCAGTTGACTGGGCCATGGAGTGGAGAGCTGGCCCGGCTCTGTGGGAGACCTGGGGTGGCCCCGTCAGGCAGGGGAGATAGGATCTCGGAGGCCATCCACTAAGTGCTTGTGAGGATTAAGTGCCTAGGACACACAGAGGCTTGGCAACGGCCTGCGTGCCCCGCTGGTGCTAGGATGGCCTGGCCAGATCCTCGGCTGGGTCGGGCCGACTCCTGCCTTGGGCTGACAATGGGGCAAGTGGGTAAAGCCTTGCCCCACAGGCTACCTGAGGTCCAGGACAGCTGTACTCACTAGTGCTTTGATCTTTGTGGGTTTCTGGCTGATTGGAGTCTTGAGCCAGAGCCCACACCTCAGAAGTTACAGCAACCAGGTTACCTCGCTTACGCTGAGAGGCCTCACCCTGTTCTGACATGGGAGATGTGGGGGAAGGTACCCAGGTTTCATTCCTGTTCCTTCTCTGCTCTGTAAGCAATGACACATGGGGAAGAACACGGGGCACCGAGTGCCTGCTAGAGGGACCAAGGACACTGTAAAACATGACTAAGAAAAGGTGCATTCTGCCCTGGCCAGTTTGCTCAGTGGTTAGTGTTGGCCTGCAGCCTGGAAAGACCCGGGTTCGGTTCCCACTAAGGGCATGTGCCTCGGTTGTGGTTTGTCCCCAGCCCTGGTTGGGTCGTGCGGGTGGTAACTACTCGGTGTGTCCCTTTCAGGTAGATGTTTCTCTCTTTCTCTCCCTCCCACTCTATCTGAACAAAAAAGATGGAGAAATGTCCTTGGGTGTGGATTTAAAAAAAAGAAAAAGAAAAGGTGCCTTCACCATGGGAGGCAAAAAGAGCAGCTGCCCCAGGGCCCTCCCTCACGTTGAGATACATGCCGAGAAGGCAGGGCCTGGGCACCAGCAGTGAACGGGATGAGAAGGGCACACAGGTCCTGAGTCGCCCACTTGCAGCCTCCTCCACTCAGGGCAGAGGCTGTGGACAGGATGCCTTCAGAGCCGCCGTCCATGGTGGTTCCCAGAGGCCCCCTCTCTTCCGCTTTCATAATCTTCTGCTATGTACTCTGTAATGGACCTTTCTCAGGGTCACCCTTTCCAATCATCTCCAACCCTCACTTTCTCTCTTCTAAAGTAGTATCTTAAAAAATCAAGTGCTTCCTCCTTCAATGCTCCTAGAAGCACACCTCATCTCTTTTGGGACAATTTATTTCTCAGGTGTTTACTAAGCCACAGCGGACCCTCTGTGGGGTGTTGCTGACAGGTTCCAACCAAGACCATGGCCAGACTGTGGCCAAGGAGTTTATAGAGGTTTGGCCTAAGACAATTTAAGGCTCTCTCCCCACATGCTGTCCTGAGGCTGGTTTGGGTGTCCCATGGTCCTTCCCTGGACAGTACGTTGATCCTGGCAGCACTGGGCTGTTCCAGGACCAGCCGCAAGGAGAGTATGAGGGTGTCACCAACACTTCCAGAATCTCTGAGAAACGGCTGATCCTGCTGCAGGCTTAGACAACACACTGTCTTAAGGCTTGGCCCCTGTGACCAGTGTGAGGTGAGCAGGGTAGGCGGGTGATCAGAGTAAGCTTCGGGCAGCTGAACAACTGCCTCTTGGCTGGATGAACCCTTTACCGAATTCCACATTCCCTTGGTGCCACAAGTGGGTCTATTCACAGCTCAGGGCCCTTTGTGACTGCACACCTGGCACTTGTGTTTGGGAGGAGATTCCTCAAAAGCCAGGAATAGCTTGGAAGGGAGACTGCACATGTTTCCTGTGGTCCTTGTATGGGACAGACCTCTGTCTCCAGATTCAGGGGCATGTGGACAGCTGCTCCTGAGTAATCACCCTTTCCAGATCAAAGCATGACGAGAGCACCAAGCAGGTCCAGGATTGTGGCAGGCCTCCCATGGTGCCTGGGGCAGCGCCCCTGCTCTCCTGTGGACACGCTGCCCTGTTTCCCTCCTCTGAATGGCCCTCTTCCTGCCAGCTCCTAGCATCTCTCCTCATTGCCAAGTGTCACCTCTCTCTGCAGACACCTCCTAGCTGCCCTCACATGGCCCTCTGTTCTTCTGGCAGCAGCCAGTTTCAGATGGGTTGCGAATCTGGCAGAACCCCAGGAAGGGCCGTGGCAGGCAGTAGCTTAGGGACTTGGGGAAGGTAGGCAAAGTGCTCCAAAGAGGGAACCTGCGAGGCCAGAGGCTCAGCAAGGTCCAAGGCCCAAGCGCCTTTGGGAGAGTCATGTTCTGACAAAGGGTCAGACCCGGCCTTCAAAGGCACAGACCGCTCTTCTCAGCTGCTGTGGACAAAGACTGCTTTAGGGGGGTGGGTACTTCTAAGTTGGCAACGGTGCTGACTCGCACAACCAGTGGCCACTGCGTGCACAGCTTTCAATCTTTGGAGGCTATCCTCAGGGGGTCTCCAGTTCCCAGACCCTCCCTCTCCCTCCTCATGCCGTCTCTGCGATCCACTTCCCCACCTGAGGGCAGGGCAGTGTGGCAGCAGGGCTAGGAGCCCTCTGCTTCTCACCGAGCCATTCCGAACCCATCTCTGTTCTGGTAGGAAGAGGCAGAGAGGGCCGTGGAGAACACAGGCTGCGTGGGGTGTTTTTCATGTTCTTTTAAAATGAGGGACAGCTAAAGGAGGGACTGCTGGCACCCTGCCTCCCATAATCCTGCCTAAATGCTAAACCTTGATGTTTCTATTCCCTATTCTGAACTGAGAGTGAGCTTAGAGAATCATGGAGAGATGAGGGCCTGGCTTGGGTGCCACAGGACCACACAATGTTTGGGGGCAAAGCCAGACAAATCCAGTCCAATAAGGAGTTACTGAGAGCCTATAAAAGCTTTCAGTCAAGTCTGTTGTGTGAATAAATCGATGGGTGTTTTATACAACCACTCCACAAGCTTACTCTGTTGGTCACCAAGCTATAGAAAAAAGCCCGAACCTAGAAGGTTTCAGGTTTGACATGAATGGGGGTCAGCAGACCTAATTCTCAGGCTGTCGAAGGTCGGCGAAGGCCTTTTCTCCTCCAGCACCCAGATAGCTAAGGCCCAGCCCGCACAGAGCATGGGCCCTCTTTAGGGCTTTGGGGATGCTAACACCCAGTAGTCAAGAACCAGGCCATCCTCAAGAGAACCTCAGAATTCTCCGCCTGGCCCTCTTCCAAACCATAAAGACCAGGAGAAAGTGATCTGTGTGTGGACAAAACAGAGAAGAAGCAAGCAAGACTCAACGTACACTACACTTACCCATCACCTGACAGTCATCTAGATGTACCCGAACCCAGTGCCGGACACAACCGTCTTTGTCATCTCAGCCCCAGTGTCCTGACACCCCCATTCCTGTATCAGAGAGGGAGAGACACACACAGGAGGGCTGGACCCTGGGACCTTGAGTCTCTCTCCTAAGTGCAGCTGATGAAGCAGGACGAATCCAGGCTGTACCTGCCCCTGCTGTAGGGCGCCCCTTCCCAGTCCATTGGCAGGCGCCCCTGAAGAGGCTGAGGGACAGGCAGGGAAGAGTTCAACAGAGGAAACCACGGGAGACGTGGTCCCTGTGGCCTTGAGCTCAGAGGAACCTCCTGTCCTGGGCGTGGGGAGAGCTTTTAGTCACTCACAAGAGGATTACGGTCATCTTGTTGACTCTGACCCTTGAGCTTCTTTTTAAAGATGGAAATCGAAGTAGAAGGCTCATAAAAAATACTCCAGATTTCCCCTGACGTCCCTGGTTGATGACAATCCCGAAGGTCCCCTGAAGCAGGAACACGATGTGATCTGTCAAACAAAAATAACTTAAGAGTCCTTCATGTCTGGTAGAACAAAGCATCCCAAACAACCGACCACCTTATGAGATACCTGTACCTATGAAATGAGATGCTCAGTGAGGTGAGGTCGTGGGAAAGACCTAAGAGCTGCCTTTAGAGATCTGAAGGACTATGGTGCCAATGAAATGTGTCCTGTGGGGTGGGAGCGCAGCGGGGCAGATTCTAGCTCCGTTTAACAAAGAACTTTCTATCCCGCAGTTATTCAGATCTGGAAAGGGCTGTCCTGAGTGATTATGAGTTTTCAAATTCTTTTCTTTTTTAAATAGAAGAACTCCTTTTTCAAATGACATTTATCTGGAAGCCCACCTAGTTAAATGGGACAAAGTCAGAACCAATCTGCTGGCGGTGGGTCCTGCCTTATCACCAATGCTACGTGGCGGGGAGCTGCAGAGGGACTCCAGTGTCAGGTGGGAATCAGACATGTGCTTTAGGGCCTCAGCCTGCTGCAAGCTGCTGGGTCTGATAGGAAGCCTCCTGCTCTCCTGCTGCCGTAGGACACACGTGCCCGAGAGGCTTCTAGAACATATGAATTGCGACTTAGGGGGAAAAAAAAAATATATATATATATATATATATAAAAATATAAAATGACATTGTTTCCACTGAAAAGTGTAAAGTGCAGGGTGGAGAGGCCTATTGGTAGTCCCAATGTGACCAAGGGCAGCCTTCACAGGGCAATAAAGGAGCTGTTATTTAATGTATTAAAAAGTTGTCTGGCTGGTGTGGCTCAGTGGCTGAGCATTGACCCATGCACCAAGAGGTCAGTGGTTTAATTCCCAGTCAGGATACATGTCCAGGTTGTGAGCCCGATCCCCAGTGGGGGGGGGGGGGGGCGTGTAGGAGGCGGCCAATCGATGTTTCTCTCTCTCTCCCTCTCCCTTCCTCTCTCTCAAAAAAAAAAAAAAATCAAGCCCTGGCCGGTTTTGCTCAGCGGTTAGAGCGTCAGCCTGCGGTCTGGAGAGACCTGGGTTCAGTTCCCGCTAAGGGTATGTACCTCAGTTGCAGTTTGTCCCCAGCCCTGGTTGGGTCATGCGGGTGGCAGCCACTCAGTGTGTCCTTTTCACATTGATGTTTCTCTCTCTCTTTCTCTTCCTCTCCCCCCTCCCACTCTATCTGAACAAAGAGTGGAAAAATGTCCTCAGGTAAGGATTAAAAAATAAATAAATAAATAAATAAATAAAAGGAAAAAAAAGTCTGTGGCAGAGGACTAGTGAGGTCAAGGAGAGGTGCTTTCGCTGGACACCAATGTTCAGGAAGACTTTGAAATGCAGATAGCTTATATATCAACTATATCTCTTTTTTAAAAAAAAAATTTTTCCCCTTTATTGATTTGAGAGAGAGGATGTGAGAGGGAGAGAGAGATAGAAACATTGATTGGCTGCCTCCCACTGGGGATTGGGCCCACAACCTGACCTCTTGGTGCATGGGTTGACACTCAGCCACTGAGCCACATCGGTTGGACTCAACTATATTTCAATAAAACTGAAGAAAAACAAACAGAGAGAGCCTGGATATGAAACCACAGGAAAGACAGAGTAGATGTCTAGGTAAAAATGAGAGGGTCTCCTCTCTGTAAATACACAAAATTTAGTAGCCCCCTTCCTGGAAGGAAGAACTGTTGAACCTGCACAGCAAAATAAAGGAAGAAAATGTTGTTGTTTTCCAATTGGTCAGAATTGAAGGACAAAGTTTCTGTAAGTTTCTTAAATAACTGCCTTAAAATATCTATTAAGCAATAGTCAATAAAATGTTAGAATTCTCTTCCTAAGACTGCTTTCCAATTTCTCGAAGGCATCAGGAAATACGCATGGTATTGCCCTAGTAATCTTTGCTCTTGCATTGAGATCTCTTCAAGAGGCCAACACAAGGAAAAACATGGAAATTGTTGGTTTTTATGCCTAGACTGTTTCAATCCTCCTTGAAATTGTATCCTGTGGATACAGGAGCAAACACAATCCCTCAAACCTTAGTAAAAATTTTCCAGTTGTACATTTCACTCTACAGAGGATGAAGAATGTGTACTGTCTTATGTTTCCCAGAACTCAGGGCTTTGGGATCATGTTCTGATGTTACACTGTTACCAGACAAAGGAAGCACAGTAGAGAAGGAGCTCTGAGCCTCTGCTCCTGGAATTGGGCAGCTCTGTCATACTCACTTGAATGTGACGTGCAGAAGTATCTTTGCTACAATGGCTGTGACTGTGAGGATGAGGAGAGTTGCCAGGCCATACACTGTCCATCCTGCAAGTGCAAAAGACAGGGTTCATCAGACCTGCTTGAGCTTAGTTTTCAGAAGGAAGCCCTGAGTGAACACGGCAGCTCAGAGATGCAGGTCTGGCTAAGGAGCTCTGGCCTCCTGAGCACTGCCTGGCTTTAGAGCTCCCTCTTACATAGAAGCAGGTGGTGTGGTCCAAAATACACTGGACTCAGAGTCGAAAGTGGTGGTGCACATTCTGTCTCTATTGTTGGATCCGCTGTGCAACCACAGATGAGTTACATAAACTCTGTGGGCCTCAGTTTCCTCATCTGAGGAATAAGATGTGTGACCTGTAAAATCCTATCGGGATACACAAATGACACAGGGCAAACAATGAAGAGGCTCTCATCCCTGACCCTCTATGGAGGGTCCTGCAGGGGACCTGGAGAATAGCCTGAAAATCTCTAGGCTGGGTAGTTGCTAACAATACACTGCAGCTCTATCAGCTCACAAAAGCCTCAACTTCCTTGGCAAAAAAGAGAATGGAAGTCTGTACCCAATCAACTTAGCCAGCTCAAACCACAAGACCATCACGACTCTCTATCCTTCTCCTGTATGAATTTTCTTCATAGCTCTTATCAATATGACTTTTTATTTTGCTTCTTGCCTTTTTCTTCCCACTTATAAGCCACTGGAGGGCAGATTTTGTTCAGTTCATTGTGTAGTCCAGGGTCTACAATAGCATGTGGTACCATTAAAGCACTTACATATCTTTTGAATGAATGAATGAATGAATGAATGAATGGAGCTCTTGAAATTGCGAATGAATTTAAGGAGCTACAAGTTGGGGCTCTAGAAAGAGATTCTGAATGTGAGAAAACACTGGATTAGCTGACTGATCACAATGTACAAAAGGCACACATGTTGGCTCTATGGAGGTGAGCACTTTCCCCTAAGGACTAAGGAGTCAAGGTAATGAGAACATGTCCCTCAAAGGCCAGGACAAACAGTGACAGAGCCAGGACCCTTAACCTGCCTTGGAATGAGAAACACCCAAACTCTATAAATTCCACCCCCTTTGATGGTGTCTGGGAACTGCTACCTGGGACAGCCTGTGGTGGGTGGCTGGGGCTGGTGGTGATGACGTAGAGGACTTTGGAGGACCGGGCAGCGCTGATGCTGAGGTTGGCCTGCTCTGTGATCACCTCGGCCAGCGTCTGGTTGGCAGTGGGCCTCTCCTGTGGTGGTTCTTCCTTGATGGCTGGAAGATCAAAAGGAATTAATGAGGGAAAAGCTGGTAAAGGCAATGAAGAGCTACAGAGTAGGAGTCACTGGTTATGTAGAAAGGCTGTTTTCTCTGATCCAGTTCTGGGTATAACTCTCTCCACTGGCCCTACTGGCTCCCAAGCAGAACCTGCCAGGTCCTGGCCTTGAAGGAGGCAGAAGGAATAAGATGTTAACTTCTAATTATTTGACTGGTCTATTCATGGACATGTGAGCATACTTTATAGTTTTCCTATCCTTGTGCCTTTGCAGCTATGGCTCCTCCTGCCTGGAAGGCGCTCTTCTTTCCTACCTATCGACCAAATCCTACCTGTTCTTCAAGACTATCCTACCTGTGGGGAGGCCTCCTCCTTCGGACTCCCTGTAGCACACACTGACTGAACTCTTCTTGAGAACCCTGACAGGACAAAGTCTAGGTCTTAGACACCACGTGTTTCTCATGTGTTGGCAAAGTGATATGCCTGGAACACGTGTGTCCACATAAGAGGGGTAGAGAGTGGGGCTCCACCTTTGGAGAATTTAAAGAAAGATGATAAACCAATCTTTTGAGATTGGGTGGGATCCTGATGACCATGAGAGGCAGAAGAATAAACTAAATGTTCTCCTTAGAGCCTTCCAATTCTACCCACTTGAGCTCTTTCTTTTGGTTGTTCTTATAACCCTCCCATGTAATTAGAACTACTGACATGGCAAAATGAACAAGCTTCACCTCTTTTCTGTATCATAAAATGGGAGGTGGGAAAGTCTAGAAGTTGAGTTAGTAGCTCAAGAACAGCCCCGGTCCACAGGTCACAAGGGTGTTCAAGAGGAGCCTGAGTCACACAGGGAAGTCTTACCTTGGTATAAAACAGCAAATCCCTGGGCCTGATTGATGCGATCAGAGAAGAAATACAGAATGACAAAATCCAGAGAGACATTAAAGGACAAAGGTGGGCGGTTCCTTCCATTGAAACGGACCAGGACTTGGTGAGTGTAGCCATCCAGCAGCTCCACCATGTCTGCGGAATCCCTGATGTCAAATAAGGTGAAGTTGAAGTGGATGTGGGAGGCTCCCGGAACCCGAATGGTCCAGTAGCAGACCCTCCCTGTGGCGTAAGTGTCAGGAAAGTCAGGGGAATAGACGACAGAAGTCATGGCCGAGTAATTCCCACCGCAGGCGCCAACAAGAGCTGTGGAAGACAAAAGGACACCAGCCCTCAGCCCGGGGCTCAGCCACAGGGCTCACTTTCCAACCAGTTACAAACAAAACTCTTCTGAACTAACGTGATCCAGTTTAGGATATTGTTTTTTGTCTATAAAACCAGACTGTCTTCTGTTTCGGGATCAAATCACAAAATGAATCACTTAAACCCTGAACAAATGACTGTGGAAGCTTTTTTTGCCCAGGAGACTTTAGAATTAGCACACAGCACAGTGGTGTGGCCTAGGTGGGGGCCAGGCTGGAGTCAGAGAGTCTGGGTTTGGGACCAGCTGGGCCATGTGATCCTTCACTTCCAGGCCTCTTGCTACTCTGTTTTTAGGATGGAGAGACCACCACCTGCTCCTGTATCATATGAATGTGTGAGGACAGATGAGATAAAGCACCTGAAAACAATGGCACCCCTTTGCAGAGGAGGCACTCCAAGAGGCAAAGTCATGAAAAGAGAAGGGTTTTACAGTACTTAGGCATCCCTGATGTCTTAGAGGTGCAATGCACACATGAGGGTCCACACAAGTAATGACTTCTGCCTAGAGAGGACACACTCAATTCTGATCACCCTGTATTAGCATATTTGATTTCTCTGGGCTCCGATTTTTGATCTGCCTATTCTAGTAAGGGGATACAACCACTTGATCGTATCTTATGTGGTGAAGTGTCAACAGATCTTGGAAGTGACTGTCCTTGAGAGGGAGTGTAGGGCTGGGATTTAAATAGCTTTGAGGGAGCCCTGGCCGGGTAGCAGAGCTGGTTAGAGCATCGTCCCATACCCCAAGGTTATGGGTTTGATCCTTGATCAGGTCACATACAAGAACCAACTAATGAATGCATAAAAATGTGAAACAACAGCCCTGGCTGGTTTGGCTCAGTGGTTAGAACATCGGCCAGCGGTGTCGAGAGACCCGGGTTCGATTCCCACTTGGGGCACATGCCTCGGTTGCAGTTTGTCCCTGGCCCTGTTTGGTCATGCGGGAGGCAACCACTCGATGTGTCCCTTTCACGTCGATGTTTCTCTCTCTCTCTGTTCCTCTCTCCCCCTCCCACTCTACCTGAACAAAGAATGGAAAAATATCCTCGGGTGAGGATTAAAAAAAAAAAAAAAAAAGTAAAACAGCAAATCAATATTTCTCTGTTTCCCTCTCTCAAATCAATAAAATAAAAAATAAAAGAAGTTTGGGGGGGGGGTTCTGCTCTCCTTTAGGATGCAGAAAGCAGTAAGAGGATGCCGCTTCCATCCAAACAATGAGGAAAAGCTCAAAACTTTTATCAACTTGTTAGAAAGCGGAGGTCTGAAGACAAAGGGAATTTAATTCTAAACAGTAAGACCCCTCCAAGGAGAGTCAGGCCACACAAAAGTGTTTCATCTTTGACAGAGCACAAGAGGAAGAGGTAGCTGCCATAAAAGCAAGTAAGAAGAAAGCAGTTAAAAGTTTAACAACTTCCAAGCAAAAAATGCCCAATCAGAACAGCAAAAATAAAAAAAAAAATCCAAAAAAATGAGGATAGTGTAAGGAGCCTCTGGGACAACTTCAAGCGTGCCAACATTCGCATCTTGGGGGTACCAGAAGGAGAAGAGAGAGAACAAGAAATTGAAAACCTGTTTGAAACAATAATGGCAGAAAACTTTCCTAACTTGGTGAAGGAAACAGACATACAAGTCCAGGAAGCACCAAGAGTCCTAAACAAGATGAACTCCAAGAGGCCCACACCAAGACACATCATCATCAAAATGCAAAGGGTTCAAGACAAAGAGAGAATCTTAAAAGCAGCAAGAGAAAGGCAGCTAGTTACCTACAAGGGAGTCCCCATAAGGCTGTCAGCTGATTTCTCAAAAGAAACTTTGCAGGCCAGAAGGGAGTGGCAAGAAATATTCAGAGTGATGAAAACCAAGAACCTACAACCAAGATTACTCTATCCTGCAAAGCTGTCATTTAGAATCGATGGCCATATAAAGAGTTTCCCAGACAAGAAAAAGTTAAAGGAATTCATCACCACCAAACCGTTATTATGAAATGATGAAGGGTCTTTTTAAAGAAAAAGATAAAATATATGAACAAACAAAATGGCAATGAATACATATCTATCGACAATGGAATCTACAAACAAAATGAACAGGTAGAACAGAAACATTCTCATAGATACAGAGAACATTTTGTTGGTTGCCAGATGGGAGGGGGGTTGGGGGAATGGGTGAAAAAGGTGAAGGGATTAAGAAGTACAAATTCGCCCTGGCCGGTTTGGCTCAGCGGTTAGAGCCGTTGGCCTGCGGTTCTGAGAGACCCGGGTTCAGTTCCCGCTAAGGGTGCATACCTCGGTTGCAGTTTGTCCCCAGCCCTGGTCGGTTGTGCGGGTGGCAGCCACTCAATGTGTTCCTTTCACATCGATGTTTCTCTCTCTCTCTCTGTTCCTCTCTCTCCCTCCCACTCTACCTGAACAAAAAATGGAAAAATGTCCTCGGGTGAGGATAAAAAAAAAAAAAAAGAAGTACAAATTCATTGCTAGACTGACAAACCTCAAAGGGAAAGGGGTTGGGGGGTGGGAAGAAATAAACCAAAGAACTCATATGCATAACCAATGGACACAGACAATAGTGTAGGAAAAGGCGAGAGGGGGGCGGGAGTGGGGAGGAGGGGGTCAATGGGGGAAAAATGAGGAACATCTGTAATACATTCTACATTCAACAATAAAGATTAAAAAAAAGAGAAAAGTTTAACAACTTCCTAAAGGCAGGCTAGCCTCTCAGTCTAAGATAACTGGGAGCCCCAGACACAACAGGAGTCTGCACTCACTTGCAGACAATTCTGGTCAGACCTCCACCCAGTGTCCACCAGAGTGACTGTGGTAGGGCAGCACCCCTTGGTGGCACGGTGTGATGATGTGACAGGCTGCTGCTGGTGCACAGGCGTGAAACCCTGCTGCTTCCCGAACTCCCCTCCCACAGAAGCAAAGCCTTCAGCTTCTGGTGGAGGGGCAGCAAACCCTCTTGCTCCCAGAGCCAGGGTAGAAACAAAACCTATTTGCCCCTGGGGAGAGGGAGTAGGAAACTCTCTCCTTCCTGCCAAAGTAACCAGGCAAAGATCTACTCCTTCTAGGGGAAGAGCAGAGGCAAAAATCATCAGCCCCTGGTTGCCCTGAGCCCCAGGGCCCTGTACCAGCGAAAGCAGGGGCAGGAACTCTCCTTCCAAAGAGCTACCAGAGATGCAAGGCAGTGTTTAGCTGCCAGGGAGAGGGGGGTGGTGCTAGGATGCTAAAAAGGTCCCATTCCTGAAGCCCAGGAATGTGTCTTGTCTAAGACTGAGGACGGACAGGAGAACCAAGATACCCCTCCACCCCTTAACCTCACAGAGCATAGCACCAAGTAACAAGCAACAGCAGTCCACCACTTAGGGAGAGGAAAGATCCACTTGGTGGCCTAGGCAATGGAAACTACTCAAAGCTGAGGATGGAATAGGAATACTGATAAACCCCACTGGCATCCCAGGCTCCACACTAAGCACAAGGTAACAACAGCTCATCACTGAAGAAATGTGAAGCCTCACATTGAAGATAATGACAGAAACAAGAAAACCCAAACCCAGCCCATCACTGACAGGCTCAATCCTCACACTAAGTAGGCCTGCCCTTTACCAGCGGTAAGTTTTATTTACCTCAACCTCTGCTGTTCTTCTACACATTGTGTATGGCATTCAATAGAATATTACAACACACACATAAGAAAGAAAGAAAGAAAGAAAGAAAGAAAGAAAGAAAGAAAGAAAGAAAGAAAGAAAGAAAGAAAGAAAGAAAGAGAAAGGAGAAAAAAAGACTCATCAAGAGATAAAACATCTGTAAATATATAATCAATATGTTATAAACCTAAAACAAATACAATGTTACATGTCAATTACATCTCAATTTTTAAAAAGGAGAAAACAAACCACAGAAGCAGACTTAATAATGACCCAGACATTAGAACTACCAGAGACTACACGATTAATACAGAAAGTACCTAGTGGAAAAGATGGACCGCATGCTTGAACAGATTGGAAATTTCAGCAGAGATATGAAAATTTTAAAAAGAATTAAATGTAAGTGCTAGAAATAAAACAATTATCTGAGATAAAAAAAATTTATTTGATGAGCTTATAAACAGATCACACAAAGCTGAAGAAAGAACCAAAACATTTGAATATAGGACAATAGATTATCCTATTGTCCAAAAAGAAATGATCCAAATGAAACATAGAGGGGAAAAAAAAAACCACATGTGAAAAAAGGAAAACAGAGCACCCAACAGCTGTGGGGCAATATCAAATGGTCTAACAGTATGTAATTGGAGTCTCAGAAAGAGAAGAAAAAGAGAACAGAGCAGAAGAAATATTTGAAAGAAAATGGCTAAGAATGCTCCAAGGTCAGTGAAAAGTTATCTAAGAATCTCAGCAAATTCCAAGCAAATAAATTAAAAAATACACATAAAAAATACAAAGTAGACACATCAGAGTTAAATGTTGAAATCCAAAACAAAGATAAGATCCTGAAAGCAGACAGAAGAAGGGAAAAGATTCCTCACAGGGGCAGAAAGATAGAGCAGATATCTCTAGAAACTATATAAGCCACAGACAAAGAAGAAAAACTAAAAGAAGAAAAACTGTCAGTATAGAGTTCAATATCCAGGAAAAATCTTTTTCAAAAGTGAAGGTGAATTAAGGCTTTCTAAACAAAAGCTGAGAGAGACCGTTGACAGCAGACCTGCATTAGAGAAAATGCTAAAGAAATTTCTTTAAGGCAGAAGAATTTGATACCAGATGGCAAATAAAAACAAGAAAAGATGTTCAACATCATAAGTAATTATGGAAATGCAAATGAAAATCACAATGAGTTACAACTACCCACCTGCTAGAATGACTAAAATTAACAAAACAGACAATACAGAAGTTCACAGGAGAATGTGGAGTGCAGCATCTGGAAGTCTCATATATTGTTGGTCAGAAT